ATCTATATAACAAATCCCTCTTTGTTGGATACTTAAGTTATGTCCAATTTTTTACTATCATAAATAGCACCGAGATGAACGTCCCTTCAGTGGAAATGCTAGTAAAAGGGTGGTGCGTTGTTAAGACTCTTGCTGCCTTTTGACTGATGGCCTTCCAGAAACGTTGCTTCCTTTGCACTCTCGCTAGCTGTATGTGGAAATGGCCTGCCTGCCCTCCTCTCAGCACTGGGAGTTGTGGTCTAAAATCTTTGTTGACTTGGATTTGGCGTCTGAACTCCTGTGGGGGGCATGGAGGGAAATGTGTATGACAGAGGGACAGAGAGCTGGTCTTCACCAGACACCAGTCCCTGACTGGGTCCGTCTCTGACTCTTCCTGTCCCCTGAGATTGGCTCCGCCTGGTCTCTGTAGGTGACCTTTTCTTTTCCCCTTGGGAGTGCATAAGGTTTTCATTTTCTTTCTTTCATTACCAGCAAAGCTGGTGTTTTTTCACAAGCACATCAACTACTGCAGTCTTTGTCCTGTGGCTCACCCACCCTGCCACCTGCCCAGTTTTCTATCGCAGTGTTAGAGTCCCCTTTGGTGTCTCCTCCCACCTTGAGTGTCTTATAACAACCCTGAGAATAATGGGACAGGTGGGATAGCTTGCCTTCTTTGACTGAGGATGCTGGAAAAGTCACTTGACTTCTCTAAGCCTCAGTTTCCTCAGCTGTAAAATGGGGCTACTCAGGTGTATTGAAGGGCTGCTGAGAGGATCAAATGAGGTGGGTGGAAAGTCACTTTGTATGCCGCAGAGTGATGGGTCAGGGGGAGTACAGCCCTGATGTGGCTGCTCTCTGCATCTTTGGGGGTGGGGAGAGCCATCCTGAGGGCTGCTGTTGGTGAGAGTTCTATGTAGGGAGCCCAGTTGGGGCTTTAGCTCCTGGTGCCTGAGTCACTGCTTTGCAAAGCAGGCTGGTGGGGAAAGAGAGGTCAGGTTCTCAGCTTCTTNAGTGACTGCACTGTTTTATACTCCTAACAGCAATATATGATGATATATATTCCAGTGATATATATTCTAGTTTATCTACATCCTTTCCAACATGTTGTTTGTCTTTTTTATTGTAGAGGGTATGAAATGGTATTTCATTGTAGGTTTAATTTAACTAATGATGTCGAGCATCTGCCCCCAAAGATTTTTAGTTGTGACTTCTTAATGCATATTCCAAGAAAGACACTGAGAACCTGTCTTCCCTTCTACCTTCCATTGTCAGGAATGTTCACGGAGATAACTGCATGGCCACATAGGTAGCACATTTCTGGGTGTGCCTTTAATATGATTAAATTTTCCCAAGCAGATTTTTTTTCTTCCTTCTGAGTATTTTCCCTCCCCAGCTCCCTGCACTTTGCAAATTTAGAATTTTGTTAAAAATTCCAATTTGTGTCAATCAAATACTTAAGTTTATACAAAGGCCACTTACCTCTGTGGGTGGTTCACGTTTCATAGTTGGTTTTGACACAAATAGCCTGTTCTTAAAAGGGATGTATTCTACTCCTCACCACTTGAACATTTTAATACATGCCTACGCAGCCTAATTGAATTGATTTTAAACAGAGTTTTTTCTACTGAGATTGTGATAAAGGGAATCTATTAGTTCAGGCAGAGGCTAGGTACTGAGGCACAGACAGATGTGGGTGGGCGGCCGGGAGGACCCTGGAGCAGCCCTTAATTCTGAGTGCATTTTAAATTAGCTATGAACTCTGCCATAGCGGGTCAGCAAACATGTCTTCTCTGTGCCAAGTGACAGTTTTAATTGGGAAACAAATGTTGAACTGGATGCAGAAAGGGTGAGAAGGGCCTGGCCTACGTGGTGAATCTGTAAGGAGCCAAGACTTGGACAGGAAAGTGGGGGGCTCTGCATAGGGAAGTGACAGGGACAGCTAAGCAAGGGATGGTCATGACCAGAGGCTACAGGGCAGAGCCCAGAGAGGGAGCAGTCAGGGTCTGTGCTGAGTGCAGACAGACCATGGACAGGGCTCCTGCCTCTCCTTGGAGAGCTCTGCAGCCCCAGCAGGTGGTGGGACTGAGGCCAATAAGTAGATGGCTTAAACTGTTGGCAATTGAAGGAGGAAGGTAGCCATGTCATGGTGAGTTTTCGGAGCTGGCTTCTGTTCTGTCTCCCTGTACTTCCATGCAGAAGCATTGGTTCTCAGGTACAGTGCCAGGACAGGTGCTGGGATTTTCTGGCCTGGCTGTCTCAGTTTGGAAAGCAGGGTACAACCAGTGCGGTGGTGGCCCTGACACAGATGAGCAAGCCAGCTGGATGCTAGGGTGGTTCAGATGTGCCTGCTTTGAGCCTGGCTTGCTGGGGTGGTCAGGGAAAGTGGCAAACTCAGCCATGTGATCACTCACAGCAACCCAGGCTCCCTCAGTCGCCATCATCTGTCAGCTGTCCTCTTCCCACATATACCCTGCTGGTGGCACAGGCAGCCCAGAAGAATAGGAGTGACTCCCCAATAAGTAGCTACTCATGGGTGTTTTCTGAGTTTCCCCGTGTCAAGCGATGGCCTATAAAATGGCCAAGGGGAGGCAACCCCTATGGCCGCGGTGGGAATGGAAAGTCCGTGTAGAGCTGAGAGGCTGCTGCACGCACCTTGAGACCCTCCCACCTCAGCTGCAGGCCCAGCCTTGCAACCCCTGGCCCAGTCCCTTTCTGACAGAAAGCTGTGGGACAGAGGCTGCTGCTGCCTGAGGCCATAGAAGAGGAAAACCCAAGACTCACAGTGCAGAGGAGTCCCAAGGCCTCCGGACATTG